CCTTCTTTCGAAAGCTCCTCTTTCGAAAGAAGGCGTTCTTCAATGTAAAGAGGCCGTCTTCGAAAGAGAGCATCCAGATTCGCTGGGTGCTCTCTTTCGCAAAAGCAGATTTCTCTTTCGAAAGATCCGCCTGCAGTCTAGACGCGATCTTTCGAAAGAGGCTCTTTCGAAAGATGCTTTCGAAAGAGCCTCTTTCGAAAGAAGCCTGCAGTCTAGACATAGCCCAAGAAATCCAACTTTATTGCATCATCAAAAGGAGCCGTCTACATGGCTCCTTTTTGCGCAAAACCCCCCTCTTGCGCAAGAGCCATTCTTCTGCATTTTTTTCAGAAGAACAGCTCTTGCACAAGAGGGGTGCATCTAGATTGGCAAGATTTTGTGCAAAAGTGGCCGGTTTTGGGCAAAAACTTGCCAGCTGCCTACACTGGCCGCTTGAATTTGCGCAAGAGCACTGACGTTCTAATGTTAGAATTCAGTGCTTCTTGCGCAAATTACCCACGGTTTTCTCCCCATGAAACTCTTTGCTTGGTCATGGTTTTGATAAGGGAAATAGATGAATTTATCACTATCTCTCGTGTTCTCCAGTTTCAAATGTTTTGTATGTGGCTCTTTTCTGAACCTTCTCCAATTTTTCAACAGTCTTTTCAAAATGTGGAACCCATGACTGCATTCACCCATACCATGTGTGGAGATTAAATCGTTCCCTTACTCCACTCACTCCTGTTCATGCATTCAAAGATTGCATCAGCCCTTTGTCTGCACCAACACTCTGGGCGCCCATGATAAGTTGGTTGTCCACAATGTTCCCTAAACAGAGGCAGATGACGATTTTGTGGGGCCCAGGACAGCACAATTTCACAGCCCCCCCCCCTTTGACATGGCGCATGTGCGGTGGTGATAATGCACATGCTCAGGGCTTCTTGAAGCACGGGGCCCAGGGCGGCTGCCCCACTCGCCCTGCCCTATATCCGCCCCTGCCCCTAAATACTTTTCAGAGTCTTTGCATTCCAATATACAGTGTGCTGGGTTGTGATTCAGGCTGGCATTCCCTGCCCTACGATGATAGTTTGAGATTTGACAGTATAAATATATTTTATTTCTTTTTGCCCAGCTCACCAAAAGCTACAGACAAATTGGTACGTCTGCCTCGTTGTTATCCCTCCGCCAGCCTTTGGGTCATCCCCCAATTTTATCTTCAGTGCTTTTGTATTTACTTCCAGATCATTGATGAAAATATTGAATAAATTTGGGCCTTGAACTAATCCCTGAAGAACTCCACTAGAAACATCCCCATTGGTCCATTGACAGCTGCCTTCTGAGATCTGTAAGTACACCAGTATAGGTGAAAACTATCTAATCTGGCACTCTGTGGTCTGGTAACATCTGTGGTCTGGTGGCATTTGAGTTAGTCGGATGTCCCCTTAGCATGGGTGTAGCCAAGTTTCGCACAGTCCCATAAAGTTTGTTTACAGCCACCAGGCCTAGTTGTTAGTGTTCTGTGCTGTTATTTGGCTCTAATTTACCTCTAAATGTCTTCTCAGTGCCCACTAACTTTCGGAAGTGCTGGTAATGCCACCTGAAAATATTGATCTCCCATGGTTTGGCAGATTCTCTGGTTCAACATCGGTCCGGTCCCCAGGATGTCAAACTAGAGAAGTTCACTCTGCATTTAGTATCTGAAATGTGTACTCTACTGATATAATATAGTGTTCTTTTTATTATCTGATTTTTTCCGTATTACATGAAACGCCTCCAAGAAATCCAACTTTATCGCATCATTGGGGCTTCCTTGATCAGCTAAATGTGTACTCTTACTGAAGGATTCAACCAGAGTTATCTGACCATTCTGCTTTTCCAGGAACCATGTTGTTGATTGGCATTCATTATATTCCTAGGCTGTGTCTAGACTGGCAAGATTTTGCGCAAAAGCAAGTGCTTTTGCGCAAAAACTTGCCAGCTGTCTACACTGGCCGCTTGAATTTGCGCAAGAGCACTGACGTTCTAATGTAAGAATTCAGTGCTTCTTGCGCAAATACTTTGACGCTCCCACTCAGGGATAAGTACTCTAGAGCAAAAATACTTGCTCAAGAGGGCCAGTATAGACAGACACCTTAATTTTTTGTTCAAGAAAGCCTGATGGCTAAAATGGCTATCGGAGCTTTCTTGCGCAAAAGCGCATCTATACTGGGCACCGATGCTTTTGTGCAAAAGCACTTATTGTGCAAAAGCATCCATGCCAATCTAGACGCTCTTTTGCGGAAATACTTTTAACGGAAATACTTTTCCGTTAAAAGTATGTCCGCAAAATCATGCCAGTCTAGATGCAGCCCTAGAGTTTCTTTTTAAGTAAATTTAGCTTTTTCATTGTCTCCTAACTCTGTCAAATTTTTACACTTCCCTTTGATTTTTAATAGTTTATATTTAACCCAGAACTATCCTGTATTTGGCTTTTGTTTGTTTGTTTTAGCTCTGCTGCTGCTTGATTTTTCACTCGTGATTCCAAGGTTGATCAGTCAGTGCAAAATTCTGATGAGTGCAACTTTATGGTTCTATTGAAGGTGCTGTTTATCATCTTCCTTCAGAGCTAATGGACTGGAAAGTATATGATTACTTCATGTGGTCTAAATACATTATTCTGCTTCTTTTGTAATGCAGACAAAACTATTTTGAACACATCTTCCTTTTCTTGCAGTCAAATATTTTTTTTCTCCCACTAGCAACTGCCTAATTTTTTTCCCAGGATTTCTTTTCTTCTTAATATACTTAATAAATGGCAGAGGTGTGTAATGACTTCTATGTTTCAGTTTTCACAAAGAAGATTGGTGGTGATTGGATGCCAAACATAGTGAATGCCAGTGAAAATGGGAAAGGATCAGAAGGTAAAATAAGGAAAGAATAAATTAAAAGACATTAGAAAAGTTAGATATCTTCAAGTCAACAGACCCTGATGAAATGTATTCTAGACTATACTGGGATCTGACTTAGGAGATATCTGAGCCATTACAGATTATATGTGATAACTCAGGCTGTGTCCAGACTCAGGGTTTTTTTCGGGAAAAGTAGCCTTTTCCCGAAAAAAACTTCCCCTGCGTCCAGACTCAGAAATTAATTCGAAAGAACGTGGCTTTTCTTTCGATGGCGGTAAACCTCATTTCACGAGGAAGAACGCCTTCTTTCGAAAGTTCCTCTTTCGAAAGAAGGCGTTCTTCAATGTAAATAGGGCTTCCTCGAAAGAGAGCATCCAGACTCACTGGGTGCTCTCTTTCGAAAAAGCGGATTGCTCTTTCGAAAGATCCGCCTGCAGTCTAGATGCTTTCGAAAGAGCCTCTTTCGAAAGAAGCCTGCAGTCTAGACATAGCCTCAGGGAAGATGGGAGAGAGTCCAGAAGACTGAAAAAGGGCAAATATTGGTTCCATCTGTCAAAAGGGAAGTAAGGACAACTTAGGAAACTAACAGACCGGCTTAACTTCTGTACCAGGAAAGACAATGGAGAAAATTATTAAGGAATCAATTTGCAAACATCTAGAAGATAACAAGGTAACAAGAAATAGCATAGGTTTGCCCAGAATATATTATGTCAAACCAACCTGATAGCTTTCTTTGACCCGGTAACAAACCGTGTGGATAAGGGAGAAGCTGTAGATTTGGTACATCTAGAACTTAGTAAGGTTTTTGATACAGTCTCACGTTACCTTGTTATTAACAAACTTGGGAAATGCAGCCTAGATGGAGGAAGATACAAGGAGGAGGGAGAAAAAATATCCTCCATGACCTGCGGTGATAGGACAGAAAGGAATGGGTTTAATTGTGGCAAGGAAGGGTTAGGTGAGACATTAGGAAAAACTTCCTACCTGTCAGGGTGGTGGAACACTGGAATAAATTGCCTAGGGAGGTTGTGGAATCTCCATTGCTGGAGATGAGACAAACATCTATCTATCCTCATACACCCCATCGATCTATCTGCCTATCAGGGATGGTACAGCTGGTACTCATGTAACATGGGCAGATGCTATCTGCCTCTGAGTGGAATCAAACCTGAAACATCTAGCCCTTAGTGCATAAGCTTCTACTGTTAACTAAGGAGGTGGGGCAGACTCATTGTTGTATCTGTACGTGTTCTAAGTGCTACTAGATGGGATACCACATCCAGAAGGTATGGTCTTGCCATAGGCCCAGGGGATTGTACTTGAAGGCTACTCAAGGTCCCTTCCAATGTCAATATTCTATGGTTCTCTGTAGATTTCCCCCTCCGCAATTCCTGTCTTCACTTTGACATTGAGTTGGGCTTTTAGCCAAGGTTGTGCTCTTTGTTGTCCGTGGAATCGTTGCAAATGTGAATGTGAAAATACTCAGACATACTTGACCATTTTCATTTCCAATTACCTTGCTAACCTACTCTTCCCCATCAGTCTGGCTGATAATTTTCCTGACTGTAGAGAATGAACTCTGTGGAAGAACTAAGTGTGTATAGATATTACTGGCAGGGAACTCTTCTCTGTTTTTTCGATGGAATGTAATTGATTCAATGTGTTTATTTTCCTGGAATCTCTTGTATGCCTCTATGTTTGCCTTTTCTCTTAACTAAAGAATCCCAGACTTTTCAGTGTATCTGCATTGGGTAGTATCCCCCCTTTTTCATAGCCTATCTGCAGTATTCTTCTCAGAGACTGGTTGGTCAACATTGAATAGAATAGAGACAGTTGTTCACAATTAATCTCCAAGAAAAACGAAAAAGGTAATGTTCAGTATGTGGAGGGTGACCAATCTGCATCTCCCCTGACAACAGCTTGCAGTGTTTTATTGAATATCTCATATTAACACGGTCTCTCCAACCAGGTTTTTCCATTTTGTGACCATCACCCTAGACCAATAAATATACAAGAAGATAGGGGAAAGGACGGCACATGCAGTAGACACTGTTCTGCCTCCAAGCTGGACACCTTCTTACCTAACCAATGTCAGCTTCCAACATGACCAACTTCACCAACCCCTCCATTCCTGGCCTGGAGACAGCCCATGTCTGGATCTCCATCCCCTTCTGCACCATGTACTCCATAACCATTTTGGGAAACTCCGTCATCCTCTTCATAGTGACGAGGGACCTGAGCCTCCATGGGCCCATGTACTATTTCCTCAGCATGCTGGCCTTCACTGACCTGGTCCTGTCCACATCCACCCTGCCCAAAATGCTGAGCATCTTCTGGTTCAATTCCAGGGAGATCGATTTCAATGCCTGCCTCACCCAGATGTATTTCCTTCGCTGCTCCTCCATGATGGAGTCTGGGATCTTCGTGGCCATGGCATTTGATCGCTATGTGGCCATCTGCCATCCCCTGAGACACTGCACCATCCTGACAAACCATGTGGTGGCCAAGATTTGTCTGGCTGTGGTACTGCGTGGTGGTATGCTGGTGCTGCCTTACCCATTTCTGACAAGGCGCTGGCCATACTGCAGATCCAACATCATCCCCCACACATACTGTGAGCACATGGCTGTGGTGAAGCTGGCTTGCGCTGATACCCGCATCAGTAGCTACTACGGCCTCTTTGTGGCATTTATTGTGCCTGGTGTGGATGTGTTTTTTATCGCCATCTCCTATACCGAGATCCTCAGGGCCATCTTCTGCCTTCCCAAAAAGGATGCCCGAATCAAAACTTTTGGGACATGCATCTCCCATCTCTGTGCCATCTTAGCCTTTTACATTCCAATTATTTTTTCCTCCCTCACGTACCGTTTTGGCCAAAATATTGCCCTATGGGTCCATGTTTTCATTGCCAATTTCTATCTTCTAGTGCCCCCCATGTTAAATCCCATCATTTATGGGGTGAGGACCAAACAGCTGCAGAAGAGTCTGTTTCAACTTGTTACTTGTAAAGGGACCTAAAGTTATCTCCTGGTGCTCTGGCTTTCACACTGACCTCCATGCACATGGTGTAGGACCTTCTTCCCTAAACCATTGACTGGAGCGTCAAGGAGACATTCAATCATTTCAAGGCCTTACTAGACTTTGTCAGCATGACAAACTTATGGAATCAGTCCAAATGCAACCCATTAACTCATAGCATTGCCACCTTTTATTTGTTCATAGAATCACAGAATCATAGAACACTAGAACTGAAAAGGACCTCATAAGGTCATCGAGTCCAGTCCTCGGCCCTCATGTCAGGACCAAGCACCATCTAGATCATCCCTGATAGATGTCTGTCCAACCTCCTCTTCAATATCTCCAGTAATGATTCTACAAGCTCCCTAGGCAATTTATTTCATTGTTTAACCACACCGAGAGGTAGGAAGTTTTTCCTAATGTCCAGCCTAAACTGAACATTTAAGCCCATTGCTTCTTGTCCTATCCTCAGAGGCCAAGAAGAACAATTTTTCTCCCTTCTCCTTATTACACCCTTTTAGATACTTTGAAAATAGCTATCATGTCCCCCCTCGGTCTTCTCTTTTCTAAACTAAACAAGCCCAGTTCTTTCAGTCTTCCCTCATAGATCAAGTTTTCTAGACCTTTCATCATTTTTGTTGCTCTTCTCTGGACTTTCTCCAATTTCTCCACATCTTCCTTGAAATGTAGTGCCTGGAATTGGACACAATACTCCAACTGAGTCTTAATTTCACAGGTTAACTGGGAAGAAATTCTTCCCCTTTCTTTATCTTTCAATGTGCTTCCTGTTCATGTTGCCCCTAGTTCACATGTTATGTAAAGGAATAAGTAACATTTTGTTATTCACTTTCTCCACACTTGTTACCATTTTATGGACCTCCCTCATATTCACCCTTAGTCATTGTTTGTAAGCTGAAAAGTCCCAGGCTTTTAAAATCTTTCTCCAAAGGGAACATGTTCTATACCTTTAATCATTTCTGTTGCAGTTCTGTGTATCTTTTCCAATCCAGTATGTGTTTTTGAGATGAGATTGTTGGCCAAGATTTGAGGGGTATGCATACCCCAGAATTTGACTAACCAAATTTCTGTTGTAAGTTGAGGGTTGGTAACATGGAGTCAGCAGGCCTGAATAAGGTGCCTATAACATGAAAACAGCAGCAGGCCTGAAATCTAGTGAGCAAGATTTTGGGTCAGTAACACAGCAACCAGAAAAGAGGCCTGTCAGGGGTCTGGCTCCCCCTCAGGCTTACAGCCCTGTCATCATCGGGGTTGCCTTACCCTAGCTGACCCTTTAACACCAGTGTTCTTAGGACCCTGTGCTCCCACCACCGCCAGTCAAGGCCCGGACAGGCCCGTTGCCGCCCATGAGGGGTCCGGCCGCTCACTCAGGGTTCTGGCCGGCGTCCCACTGTCAGACACCGAAAGTCCCCTTAGGCGTGCCTCCAGCCTCGGGGCTTCCCCTGCCACTCACCTGTTCTGCCCTTCCTCCACGCTCTCCCCACCGACCCCCACTGAGCCGGCCGTCCAGCCCTTTTGAATCCCCTGCCGGTTCATTTCTCCCCGCCTCCTCCCGTCGCTGGGTGATGATGTCACCCCGTGCCTCGTCTTGGTTGGCCCCTTCCTGTGGCCAGCTCGCTCCACCTGTCTCTGACCCCGGAGTCCACGAGGAGTAACGGTAGTTCGAACTAGGAAGCCTAGTTCGAACTACCTAGTTCGTGCCCCGTGTAGCCGTGCTACACGGGGTTCGAACCAGTGGGGTTTTAAAAATGGCGGCTCCCCGCTTATGCAAATGAAGCCCGGGAAATTCAAATCCTGGGCTTCATTTGCAAGTGCGGTATGCCTACATTACCCCGCTAGTTCGAACTAGCAGGGTAGTGTAGACATACCCTCAGAGATCAACTGTATTGACCCAAGTGCACAGGTTTAACACTTTAACTAGAGGGAGCACACACATGTATGCATGCAGCCAAAAGTTTATCATCACCGATGGAGTAGAGGACCTGTCAGGAACCTATCGAGACAACCCCAAACTCTGATTGACAACAATTTCAACACCTTGTGTGCATTCAGAGCCCATGGATTAATGAAACAGAACAGCATACATTTAAGGGTTAGTTGTAAACTAGACTTTTAGACGCAAAGGAAATACAAAAACCAAAACCAACCTAACTGGAATTTTCTTCACATCGCTATGGAATGCTGGGAGAAGAATTAAAAGAAAATTAGAATGAAAGAAGATAAGTTGGATGGAAGCCTTGAATCTAGACACCTCTGAAATTAGAAGTGTATTGGAAAATAGGAAATCTGAGGATTCAATAGGCGTAATTGTGGACTATGTATTTGTAAAAGTTAGAAATAAAGGAATTGGCTATAGAGTGTACTTTGGAGCAATTGTGTGGTGTGAGCTTGAGACACCTTTTTTTCTGATGGTTTTATTCCCCAGTGGGTGAGCAACTGACCTCTGCAAACCCGATGGTAATTGCTCAATACCATTTAAAAGTTTGGGTAAATATCTGGGATGTTCTAAACCTATTGGCTACATCTAGACTGGCATGATTTTCTGGAAATGTTTTTAACGGAAAACTTTTCCGTTAAAAGCATTTTCGGAAAAGAGCGTCTAGATTGGCACAGACGCTTTTCCGCAAAAGCACTGACTTCTTTCTGTAAGAAATCAGTGCTTTTTGCAGACATACTATGCTGCTCCTGTTCGGTCAAAAGTCCCTTTTGCGCAAAACTTTTGCGCAAGAGGGCCAGTGTAGACAGCTGGCAAGTTTTTCCGGAAAAGTGGCTGATTTTCTGGAAAAACTAGCCAGTCTAGAGACAGCCTCAGATTTTGTCTGTATTTGCTTATATCCAATAGACTGCAGAGTTAGGCTAGATTCTAGATCCCAACCTCCTGCCCCAGAGATAAATCCCACTGCACCCAAAATCCTTCCCAGAGTTTGCATACTAAAACCCCTCCTGGACTCCAATCCCCAACCCTAGGCTGAGCCTGGAGCCCCTCCCACATTCCAAACCCCTTGGTGGAAGACCAGAGCCTGCACCCCAACTTCCCACCCCAGCCTAGTGAAAGTGAGTGAGGATGGAGGAGGAAAGGGAAGGGAGTGAGCAGGATGAGACCTCGGAGAAGGGGTGGAGCAGGGCCTCAGAGAAGGGGCAGGAAGGAAGCAATACAAGAGTATTTGGGTTTGAGGTAGATCTTACATTGCGCTTAAATTGAAAAAGTGATCTTGTGGTTAAAAAGGTTGGAAACCACTGGTCTAGAACTTTCACTTGCATTAATCTTTCAGTAGAGAGAAGTTCTGTGTGCCCGCTGATTTATTCCAGACATCACCTGGAGTGTCAGAGTTACGTTACTCATTTCATACGTTTAAAAAAACCCCAAACAGGTAACAGGGTGACCAAACTGCACACAATATTTGAATGCACCATGGATGTATATGTACACAAGATAATATTGTTTGCCTCATTTCCTATCCCTTTCCTAAATATTACAAACCTTTTTGTTCGCTTTTTTGGATGACCACTCTACATTGAACAGGTCTTCTTGGAGAAGTAGTAACAGCGAACTCCAAGATCGCTTTCTTGGTGGGTGACAGCTAATTGCGATCTCATTGTTTTGTATGTAGAGTTGGGCTTATATATTGTCATGTACATCACTTTGCATCTATCTATAGTAAGAAGTGGGCCTAAAGCATCAGTCCATGTATCACAGGCCTTGTGTGAGGCCTGAAGCCTAGATAGAGGTAGTCAAGGCTCTGCAAATATAAAGCCAAGTTGAATTGTGAGCAAACGGCAGGCCCTGCTATCAGAATCTGGCAAGAAAGGAGCTGATATTGCAGATACATCTCTAGGGGGCCTTAGGTATTAGTCATGTTAACACATTCCAGGGTAGTACGACAAGACTACGAGAAGAAGAAATGCAAATGAGAGCATGACATATGCAAATGAGTGCTCCATTTACATTTCCTCTTGTGAAAGAGGCTAGTAGTGTAGACGTAGAATAGTTGTGCAGGTTACACGTCAACACTACCAAGCCCGTTATTTTGAAATAACAGGCCGCTTATTCCAAAATCAGTACTCCTGTTTTCCTCCAGGAATAACGCTAGTTTTGAAATAGTTATTTCTAAATAGCTACTCTCCAGAGTCATTCGAACTAATTTTTCCCCAGTGCTTCTTGCGGCGGTAAGTCAGGGCAGCGCATCCACATTCACGGAGCCTGCCTTGGACTAATTTCAAGGCTTCCCCAGAGCGGGGACACGCTATTTCAATTTTGTTATTTTGGGAGTCGTTATATTGAGTTTCATTATTTCAAAATGATTTCCTAGTGCCGACCTGCCCCTAGAGAGCTTGTCAGAGCCTCACAATTGTGGGAGAGCACCTAGCTTGCTATGGCAGAGGACTCAGAGGTACCCAAAGCTCAAGTGGTACCTAGGGAAGCACATCACAACCACCCAACAAACAGGCCTTGCTAGACCATGTCTCCATTTTCCTGTTGTCATGTGCTCAGTTACCAATATCGAGATGGTAGTGATAGCAGGAAAGTCGGAACTCCTACTCTCTTTTGGTCATGCTCTGGTGCCTCAGTTTACATACCTGTAAAATGTGGATATGTCCATAGTTGCTTTCCTTTGCTAGGTGCCTTCAAGATCATAGAATCCTAGAATCCTAGGGCTGGAAGAGACCTCAGAAGGTCATTAAGTCCAGCCTCCTGCCCAAAGCAGGACCAATCCCAACTAAATCAATCCAGCCAGGGCTTTGTCAAGCCGAGACTTAAAAACTTCTAGGGATGGAGATTCCACCTTGTCCCTAGAGAACCCATCCAAGTGCTGCCCCACCCTCCTAGGGAAATAGTTTTTCCTAATATCCAACTTAGACCTCCCAACCTCCTTCAATGAGAACTCCTCAATATATGATTGTGATGAGAATCACTGATCTCTGAATCTAAAGTGACAGGCCTATTTGACTGCAGAAAGTATTTGCAGCTCTCCTCAGCCATC